ATGCATAGATTAGTTTACGTCTCAAATAATTGTATTCTGTCAATTACACAAAGTTTTGCTTAAATGATATGTATCATCTTTAAATGTACGATCAGATACATGGAAAGATCCTGGGCAAAAAGTAAGATATAATGTATGGAAATGTAGATAATTTTACATGTTTGACATTAATTTGATTCCTGTGACACATGCTACATCGATGATATTTTATATTGCACGGGAAAAAATATGAACCTGCCCGAAAATGTGTTACAATCAATTGTTATAAAAAGAATGTAAGTAATACATGTATTCTAAATGACTGTACGTGTAACAGCACCTTAAAAGGTTATACTTCATATAGAACAGGAGCAGAGCAGACATGGACCTCCAAAACATCTGAGGTGGGATCAGTTGCCATGGAGAATTTGGAAATATGTTTAACCCCGCCCTAAATATATCTTATATTTATTGTAGGGTTTTTGAAACGATCGATCGTGATAAGTTCAATTTTTCTTTAGGTCAGTGTTTCACTCATACGAAAATAAACGTATATATTTAATAATTCTTATAAATATCAGTCTCATAATTTACAAATTTTATCAACAAATACATATGATCCTGTAAACATTTCCTATCACCAAAAAGTGAAATTTAATAAGAGATGCATAATACCCTTTTTGTCCTAGATATATCTATCTGTTGTTCTTTGCTATATGATCAGGAAAATATGTGACCTGTATACATTTTAGTTTCTTATTTCATTCTTTTTCTCTTATGAAGGACAGATGAAACAAACAGAAAACATATGCCTGGATTGGTATATATTTAGCCTAATTTTATTGCAAATGATGCAAATAATAGATTTCTAGAATATAAGGAAATTGTAAACCTTCTATGATGTTAAAACGTCTGCTCTTCTTACACTATCCTTATTAATCTATACAAATAGTTTTCACTTCAAATCCCATTTTTTGTTAAACTTTGAAAAGATAAATTAAGAACTGTGCGGTGAAATTTATTCATTTTACTTATTTGAATATTACCCACCTTGTTATTTTCAAATTTTTTGACAATCGTTTGTTTGTATCATCTGTCATCAAAACACTATCATTCGAAAATTAACTGTCATCGATATATATCCACACATGTTACGTCATAGACTTTCAGATTCTCTTATAAGTGGAATATAGTTTATTTAGGGAAATGCAATAGCCTGTATGCATGTCGACTTTTACCTAAGGCATTGGTTGGTCTAGAAGATATGCTTCAATAATATACTATAAATATTCATAACTTTTGATGAGTTTTGTCATATACAAAAATTGAGGTGCAGGAGAAAGGTAAATAAGTTTTTATTTAACATACACTCAATTTTTACCTTTTAAAAATAAAATAACGATTAAAATTATGGATTTAATGTTAGTATGAAAAGTAGTAAAAAATTAATATTATAATTTTAAAGTAAGTACATGTATGATTATCTTTATTCAGATGAGAACTGGAATCTATTTAGCTGTTCTGCTACTTTTTTATTGTCTGTTGGATGAGGGAGAAACAAAAACAAGCAAAAAAATGAAAGAGAGTTGCGAATGTGGCTGGTGGGGATGTCGATGCTGGAACAAGAGATATGGTAAACACGTTATAATGTTTGTTATATTCCAGACTTATGCACTCTTTCTGCTCATTATAGATAAATATTATATGGGTTGACTTACATATCTTTTACATGAATTATTTTAATTTATTAATCTGTTTGGAGCTGATTCTAGACCAATATCGCAGAAGAGATTTCAATTATGTTTTGATGTCATTTTGAAAAATGAAAGAAGATTTATTTGTTTCAGTTTCCATAAGCTTCTGACCCGTTGCATTCCTGAGAAACCCTTGTCGTATATAATCTGTACCTAAATAAGGTGTAAAATGAATTGGAAATGTGAATGTCAAAACATCTGATTGGGCTAGCTATTTTTTTTTTAAATCTGTTGTAAAATAAAAAGTTTAAGCTGACTTGCAGGGAAAATATATTTAGCCCATAGAGGCCATTTCATTGAAAGACAAATCTTATGTTATCTAATTTGAATGCTACATTTTCAAAACGTTATTCTGTATATTAAACCTTAAATGCATGCAGGTAAGATTTCAGATCATTTGGAATCGAAAATCCTATCTTCAATTATATTGGTTAAGGGTTTTAACCATTTTTTGATAATTTCTTGATAATTAATTTTTACTGTTATATCTATTGTTTTAAGATTAAAAACTCGAATATATACATCCCAATTTCTTAGGAGGCCATCTCAAAACTTGACAATTTTTTTCTATTGGACCCTTTTTTGGAAAAGCGCCAAATAACAGTGTATCATATTTTCCAGTATTTTTTGTGGTTTTGCTTCAGAAATTTCTTTTTTATTCAAGAAGATGAAAATTATTTTGAAAAGTTACCAAATTTGTGAAATATCAAAAAAAAAAACGTTAACCATCTAGGTTGGTCTACGATTGAATGTCAGATGAGGCGTTTCTTAATATCTGTTTTGTATATCTTCGTAATGTATGTAAAACTTTTCAAAGTTTTTATTACATTCTGATTTCTAAACTAGTTTCTAAACGTCTTTAAAAATCAAAACATTAAACATTTTATATTGAAAAAATAACCTTTTTTCCCAAAAGGATTTATAAGAAAAACTACCCCTGGTATCTTGCAGAAATGCCTAGTAAGGTACCTAAGTTTTTTTGCAAACATGTTTAAGAAGCAATACTTCAATGACAATATCTTGGAAAATTTTATATTATAAAGGAACGTCTCGTCTGTTTATATTTTTTTTCAAAACGCAATACCTCTCAAATTGCCATATTACGGTATAAATAAATATCAGTGCAGATGAATTACCGATGAGAATGATTTTGTCGGTAAAAATAAGAATGTTTGGATTGCTTGTATGTTTCTTTGGATGTACTGTGATCAGTTTTTAGTATATTTTCCAACGACGTCTTGAAAGTACAAGCGAGTTAGGCGCTAGGCGTCATTCTTCAGCTTAATGCATTGCTTACAAAATCCAATTAAACGGTTTTTTCCTTTAATTTGTCGTAAAATTACAGACTGAAGGGGGGTAAAAATAATGTTAATTTTGTAATAAAATCAAATTATTTGGCAACGGTGAACTGTCGCACAAATGACCGCATGAAGTTAAAAAAAATTGAGTAAAGTCATGCGCATTTAATTAGACTAGGCCTCGTTAAGGATGATGAAGCTAGGCTGACCAGAGAAACCATTGATGCCTGAGACGAAGAATATTTGTTTTTGAGTTTTATTTATCCCTAAATTATCTTCTTATCTTCATCATATTACAGAACAATATGAAACTTCAACTTGAAGATTTTCAAGTGAGTTTACTTTAAAGCTTTAAATACCCAATGAGAAAAAAAAATTATTCAATTCAATGTCTAATTACTGGTATTTATTTTACTCTAATGATATCATATTTCTTATTTAGATGCCAGAATTCATGGATTCTACAGCAGATAAATAGCACACGCAATGCACACTTGAATGTATAGGTCTAAGAACTGCTTTAATGAATTAAAAGATTTATGACTGAACGCAAGAGATTTCGGGGTTTCATATCATTACAACTTTGAAGCAAAATAAATTGTCAACAATTTTATCTACTGACTTCAGGTAAAAGTGGTTGAAATCATCATGAATTCATTATCAGCTGCCATGTATATTCCTTAATACATGTACATTAAGTAATAATTGTTATCAGGGATTAGATATCTCACTTAAATGTGATATGAAGTACTGTATGCAGGAAGTTTCCGCCCTCTAACTCTTTCTTATTTCACACTGTAAACAGGTGGGCGAATTTAAACCATGGTGAATTAAACGAATATTATAACATTATATACTCATCTTCCCTAGAACTGAGTAAGAAAAATAAAACTGTCCTGTTTTGATGACTTTACAATATTATGAACAGCGGCTCACTATGCATTATATTTGCAAAATTAATGTATTCATTTTTTATTGATTTTTTGTTAAAATTGAATGATATATATATTTTCTCTTTAGAAATCTTAAACTGTCTGATATTTACACGTGAATTTTCAATTTTGTTTTTACTTAATATTTTACTCAAATTTTCCAGTTTCAGTTTGACTTACTAACTTAAAGTAGGAAAAGGCAATCTTTATTAAAAGTGTTAAGCAAATTTGCAATAGATCAATTGATAATTATAAAATAAGGCTCATTCTCAAGTCGAATGTCTGATTTCACAATCTTCTTACGGGGGTTTGATAGGCCATATTTCAGACAATGTGGGCAAAAAAGGTGTGGTTGAATTTGTTTCATATCATATAACAAGAAAGATTTTGTATCCTAGAATAAAACATCAAAGTTTAAAAAAGCCCTTCAAATAGAATTTGAATGTTTCATAAGTATGACGTCGACTTTCAAGAAAAATTGAGATTCAAATAAGTAATACGTCTTCATTGTGGATTTTTTTTCAATATTCCGTGTTACAAACTGTTTAAAAAACATTATTTATGTACTTTTCAAATGATAAATGCAAACAATTATCATGGAAAGAGTTTCTTTCTGCATGAAAAACACTATCATCAGTAACATTTTTATAGCTAATGGCTTAGACGGAAGGTTTTCTTCGAAAAAAATAATCAGTTAATATATAAAAGACAAATTAAAATAGGAAGTTTGTCAAACCTAATAAATCACTTTATTTCTGTAGTAATATTCTTCATTTTTGAAATATAAATTTTAATCCGGATATGGTTTTTCGAAAAACGGTCAAGAGACCTACGAATGACATAAGCGGAACAGCAAGATGGCTCCTTCAAAATATAGACACTTTCATAAAAAATGAAAAAGTAATAAGTATGTTTTCATAGACTCTGTAATGTCTATAACTGTTGAAAGAAGGTTGTATTTAAATTTCTAAACACCAAAGAGTATTTCATTTGCAGTTATAACCGAAAAGAATGTCTTTACTTTTTTACTTTAAAACAAAATATCTCCAGAACTCTGGCAAATCTTATTCTCCAGTCTCAGCATCAACAAATCCGTCTATCTAAACAAGAAAAGAAAATCACACTAAGCTAAAATCACCAATATTGAGAATTGACTCGGAACGCTGGAAGATAGGATGTGGTATATCAACATGTACAACCTGGTAGAAATTGTCATGATTTCAGTTTGTGTTTAAATTCAACTTACTCGTCTGTTCTGGTCTCTGGAGTTTTCAGCAGCATTCTAAAAATAATTATTTTTCCAATTGAATTTATAAGGAATTATTTTCAAGTATATTCACAATATGTAATATATATATATATATATATATATATATATATATATATATATATATATATATAGTAGCAGAACCTTTTAGCTTGAACTTAAAACTTCATTTTTTTAATACAATTATATAGAGTAGTATTTCATGTAAAATATGTATGTCCCTTTTTTTAGGGGTTGCCAAAACTACACAAACTAAATGCATTCACTTATAAAACAAGTCCTGTTATATGGATTCCAAATAAATTACATCATCATTTAGTTTTCCTGTGTAATGTAATTGATGAAATGAAGGTTCTTTCATTTTTAGCACAACTCTTGCTCTTTTCACACTAAGACAAAAACTTACAAACACAAAGAAACATACACAAAAAATACAATGGTATACACCCTCAAATTAAAAAAAAAAACACTGAAAGCAAAAATTTCCATAAATATTAAATCAGTATTTATATTTGAGCCAATTTATAAGAAGCAAGAAGTAGGGAATAAAATTTCATCTGGAACTTACGATGACCATGGCTGAAATTGTTAGATATATATCTGACCGAGTGGAGAAATCTTTCTGAATTGTACTCGAAAAAATATCCAAATCAGTGTAAACGAACAGGGCACAATCTTTACACAAGCTGTGTTTTTGTAGTAAGCCAACTATGAAATTGATTTGAATATCATATTGTGTATACTCACGCGTAGAAATATAAAGAGACGTTAGAAAAAATAAATAAAATAGGGCAGCAAAAAATTCAAATATAGGGTATATTTTTATGCTTCAAGAGATGGAAAACTCACACAAAACTTTAAAACATTCCTTAATTAACAGAAAGAAAGAAAAGAAATTCAAAGGAAGAAACTATATAACTTGTTTTTTATTGGACCAAAAATTCACTGAATTTTTTTTAAATAGTTACCAAATGTCAGATAATTGTCATTAGACAACATTTTCAAATCTTTTAATGACCATTTATCGGCAGATTTCAAGTCTATACACGACCGTGTGCCATGCAAAAAGGATTTTTTCCAATGTGAGACTAAGATTCCTTGAATTTTTTTATAGTTTTGAGGCATCAGATAAAAATAATTGTCAACCTACATTAATCAGATCTTCATAAGATAATTATCAAATTTTGCTTGATTTACGTTATTATTGTTTTGTCCTGGAAATTGAACAAATAACTGCATAGTTGTAAAGTATCAAAGATGCCGAAGAACAGTCTAGATTATTTTAATGAATTAAAAAAAAATTATCGCCCTTTTTTATTGTTTTATCCTGAAGAATACACGGCTTAGGCACCGTGTTTGTAAATATTGTATTGTTTGATTCTCTACTACGCGAGGGATTTAAGGTTTTCCCCGACTAGACATACCCGTACACGTACACGTATGAAATCTCAACATCTGTAATATATTGTTAAGAATGAGTTTTGTCCACGTTCCTTTAATTTTTAATCTTCAGAATAACTTTTTAAATCGCAAGTAGATGCAGATCTTCTTGCTTACAGATTTGTGACGGTTATATAATAGTTCAATACTTTAATAATCTTATTTTTCCATATTTTTGACAGAATCTTCTCATATTTTCGACAGAATATACACATGTACAAAAAGGTGTTTAAGCTTACTCTGACATTCCTGCCACAAATGCACCTACTCCACATCCAGCCGCATGGACAGGGTGTCGTAAAATATGCATCTACTTCGGACACATAATGAAAGGAGAAAAGGAGGACAAGAAGCAGTAAGGATTTCATCTAAAAAATATATGTGAATATATGATATTTTTGAGTATGCAGAGTATGTTTACAAAAACGATAATATTTCACCAGCGTATTGAAATCTTACCTTTTCATAAATGGATGCCGAAAAACGAACACTTCCCAAAACGTCCAATTTCAAAATTTTATACTTTGAGGTATTGTGCAACATCTGTGAGATGCAATATTGCATGTACAGTTGTATCTACGCATTTGAAATTTGAGCAGAATATCTGTTTAAATGTTAATGTAAAACGTAAAATAAATTGAGAATGAAGGAAATAAATTTCACGTTAGACAATGAAGAAAAATATGCCACTCCAGTATCGAAAAAAAATGTCTTATGAATTCATTGACCAAACCATTGGTAAACTCCTTTTGAAGAAGAGCTCTATACACACATATAAAATAATAATTTAATTTCAAAAGAAAATTGTATAAAAATTTGTTAAATGACACGTAGTTGACAGTTAAAGATATTATATCTAAAGAATAACTTATAACCGATGGTTATTTCGTTATCCCCACAGCCTCTTGAAATCCTCACAACATCAGGTGTCTTGCGTCTAGTACCGGGGTTGCTGTTTGACAACCCAAAATATTAGAGTCAAATGCAGCAACATTTGTTGAGAAAATAACCAAATTAATTCTTGATCGTTTTTCTTTTCTTTCAATTCCTAAAAATATCTGGGGCAATGGAAACATTATTTACAGTAGTGAAAATCAAATAATTTGAACAATAATTATGTCGAAAGTACAATGTATTGCCGAGGATTCAAATTCAAAAGTAGATATTCAAGTAAGAAAAGATTTAAGTATTTTATCAGCTTTAAGAGTTAAGATTTATCGATGAGAATTAAAGGAGAAAAGCCAAATTAGTAAAATTATTAAATTATGAAAAAAACAAGATGTGTTTTTGAAACACTATGCGCCCGGCGGCAACAAAGTTCAAAAAATCTATTTTTAGCATATTGGTCACAGTCAAGGTCACAAGGTCATTGACGTTGGTGTCATTTGAAAGAACTTAATCGGTGGAGTATGCATACCAAATATGAAGTCCCTATCTCTTATGGTTCAGAAGTTATGGCAAAAAGTGTAAAAAGCTATTTTAGCATATAGGTCACAGTCAAGGTCACAAGATCATTGACCTTGTCGTCGATTGAAAGGACTTTATTAGTGGAGTAAGTATACCAAATATGAAGTCCCTATCTCCTATGGTTAAGAAGTTATGACAAAAAGTGGAAAAAGCTGTTTTGAGCATATAGGTCACAGTCAAGGTCACAAGGTCATTGACCTTGGTGTCATTTGAAAGAACTTAATCGGTGGAGTATGCATACCAAATATGAAGTCCCTGTCTCTTATGGTTCAAAAGTTATCGCAAACAGTGGAAAAAGCTATTTTGAGCATACAGGTCACAGTCAAGGTCACAAGGTCATTGACCTTGATGTCATTTGAAAGGACTTTATTAGTGGAGTATGCATACAAAATATGAAGTCTCTATCTCTTATGGTTCAAAAGCTATGGCGAAGGTTAAAGTTGACAACAGACAGAAAGACAAACAGACAAACAGATAAACAGACAAACAGACAAACAGAAAGGACAAAAACAATATACGCCCGGGATCTATTGATCCGGGCGCATAAAAAATTTATAACCAAAGAAGATTAGCTTCCATCAAAGATTTGCTCATATATGGTTGATTCAATGTATGATTAGCAAGATGAATCACCAGGATTTATTTCTTTCTTATCTGTATATATAATAATAGTAAATTCCACTGTGATTGATTTTGCATTATGTTCAATAGCGCATTGCTCCTGAGTCAAGTGTAAGTAAACGCGATATTAAGTGTTCATAAGTTCTAGACAAAAGTAAATTCTTTCATAAATTTGACAAGTATGTAAAATTGTACAGTATTGTTAGCCATCAATGCAAGAAATTAGCAAGTTATATACGCTGTAGAATTGTGTGTCCTTTCACCAATAAAATACAAAGAAATTTTTTTATATTTAAATATAAATTATAAATCATTTCATTTTATATAAAGTAAAGAAAGAAGTGGCAATTATTACAGATAGAAATACCGATTCTGTCTGCATGTCCTTTTTTAATCGTTATCCCCGGATTAGCAAGAAAACCACACATCCTTCATAAGATCATGAGAGTTAATTCATCCATCCTGACAGCCTATTATTTTCAAATTGACCATAATTTTTCATCTCTATTCAAGTGAAATTTAAACACAATGTACAGATGCTATCTCATATCTGGTAAGAGAAGTAAGGATAAACCCAGGTATTCAGGCGTTTCGGAGTAAACAAATTGATACAGTATAACAGAATATTTATTTTTGTTTTAATCTGTTTGCAAGACTGGAACATGATGTTATATCTGATTTTGTTTTTTAAAAAATGTAATGCCAAAATAAATATTAAAATACCCTCCCCAAAAGTACATTTGACGTTTTAATTTATCCATCTGATCAAAGACATTTACGGAAAAAGAATGAGAAAAGTATTGACTCATGTAAGCATCGATTTTTTTACAGTAAAATGTGCAACATAAAAAAAACAATTCAAGCTCCTTACACACTTCTTTTAAGAACATTAAAATAATCCTAGCTGCAGAACTGTATATTTACGATTTAATATAATAGTATTTGACCATAACGATGTAGACACTTTATGCAAAAAGGTGCATTTTACGGCGCAAGATTTTCTGCGCACTGTTGGCGAGAATTTTTCCACTATAAGGCATTTTTGATTAACTACCCTCCATTTTCCCTAAAACTAGATAATTCTATAACCAATCTGTATATTTTATTTACCTACCAATTTTTTTATTGTCGTCTCTATCACTGTCCATAGCTTGTAAAACTAGCTGGAATTTAATTAATATGTGTTGGAGTTTTTTTTAAAAATCAAATTAAGCGAGTTACTCGCTTGGAGAGACGACTATATAGGGCTGGTAGGTGGATAAAATATACAGGTTGGTTAAAGAATGTTTCTAAAATTAGAGAATGATATTCAATTCCCTACATCTTTCTGCAGCCTTTCTATTAATCAATACAATTTTTTAACAAATAAATTAACAGTTTTCAGAAACTGAGAATATAAAATTAGATTATGTGCTGTACGAGTGGTTGTCCTAAAATTCCGTAGACAAGAGTTGTTTTGAAGGTTTCGATGTCATATATTCATGAAAATTTGTACATGGTGAATAACAAGTACTAACTAATGAATTTATAGAGAAATATTGATTGACCACGAAAATTAATCCTATTTAGATGATACAGTTCATTGTCTAGGGTAGAAAGGTGGCACAATACCCAAAACGTTGCATTAAAAATCGGTATTTATATTATTTTTAAATCCTACGGAATTGTAATTACTACTTTGTATACTTTTAATGGACAAAAATTTCCTAATATTGTTTTATTTGCTAAATTTCCGCAAAATTTGATGTTTATGCTTTCATAAATAAGGATTTTATATCGTGTAATATACACCAGGTTGAAATCCGAACTTTTAAAAATGGCGGCTGTTTTTGCACAGGCGGCGCACTGGACTGTGATAAAGTGTGTTGATCCTGAATTCCCTCCTACAGAAATGTACAAGTCATAAATGTTTGATACACATACATGTTTTCTATTCCTTAGTATTTGAAAAAAAAATGTCTGGAATGGTTTCTCTATGTAAGTGAGTAAAGGAAACGAAAAAAAAAAAGGTCTGAAAATTGGTCATGAGTACCTCTCTGCAATTCCATTAGAGAAGTCAGATGAAAAGCCCGTAGAAAATGTAGAGTTTTCAAAATATCATTATTTCATACCTGTATATGCAAATACTTTGTTTACATATTTTTATAATTGACCACAATATAGTAGTTAAGATGTTTCACATTTATATCTATAATTGTTTTGATTAATTAAAGAATTCTATTCTAGGAGCTGGAATATTTTTATCCAAAAATTTGAACCGTTTTTTTTTTTTTTTGTCTTTTATGCCTTTGCAGACTGCTTCGGGATTTAGAGAAGGATATCAATTCTAATCTTAAAATTCGAATTTTTTGCAAGTAAACATGATAAAACTTCGTACAATGTAATTTATCTGCCAAGAGTATGCTTTATCAACCGAGAAAATTTTATAAAGATGCACGTACATTATTTTTTTGAGAAGATATGAGCTCAGTCTTCAAAATTTTGGGACAACCCTCGTAAAACATTGACTTTAACAATATTTTTATGACTTAAGTTGCTATTTTTATTTATTTTTTTTTTAAAATTTGATGTACTCTTTGCCCTAAATCATTTAGTCATTTATTTTCTAGTTCAGAAATGATATCATTTGCAACCACCTATTTTTGACAATATTGTTTTGTTGTTGTTGTTAAAAATATCCTTTACCCTTGTAACAGATTTGCCTTTCAAAGATTGTCAGTATCACCTTTAAAATGTCCTCTAAATTTGAAATAATAATTTATGAGTTTATTGCATATCTAATTTAGAAATCTCAGCACACACAAACATACCCTCAGAATGAAATACAATAAACATTTTTATTACATATTTTAATCAGGTCAAAAAGAAAATGCTCTTAATACTATATAAAAATAATAAATCACCGTTCTTATAAATAGCTTCGAAACAAAATTATACACATATACAAAAGTATCTTCAATGAATATGAAATCCAAACAGATCTATAATCAATTTCAGAGACGGATACTGACGCCAATCTAACATTAGAAGCACATGTTATGTCTTCTGGGGGGAAAATGGTACATAAATTTTAGAATGTCATTTATCGATAATTTATCTGACATAGAAGTACATTTTCATACACAATGATTTATTTTGCATTCTTCTAGGAACACTTTTATTCTCATCTACTCATAAAGTAGATCAACATTATTTACTCCAAAAACATACTTTCAGCTCCTAACATTACAATTGAGTTTTTAGCTCATCTGAGCCGGAAGTTCAAGTGAGGTTTTCTGATCGTTTGTCCGTTGTCTGTCTTCATTGTCGTTGACGTCGTCGTAAACTTTTCACAGTTTCATCTTCTAAAGAACCACTGAGCGAATTTCAACCATACAGGGCACATCGTTTTCTTGGTTTGTTCAAATGAACGGCCACATCGTCTTACAAGGGGACATATATTCAAGTTTCTTCAAATCATGACCCTCAGGGAGGGTGGGGCC